TAAACACGTAGAACTATTTTTACTACTTCAGCTATCAAGCTGTTAAACAATATCACTACTCAAACAGTAAATTATTACTAATGTAGCGAGTAGGGGACTAATACCCAAACACCAGCGCAGGCTGCAAGGTCCTAAGTATTCGTCTCAGAGTAGGCTTTGTGAGTGCTAGATATCTACATCTACATAGTAATGACCACTTTCATCTATTTGAAGATCATGTCATGTGCTAGTTAGATGTGGGTGCTAAATAAGGATACATGTACTAGATGTAGTCCTCAGTGAAGATTTTGTGTATTTGTCCCTGATAGATATGGGTGATAGTCCTCAGTTATAGATATGGGTGATAGTCCTTAGTTATAGATATGGGTGATAGTCCTCAGTTATAGATATGGGTGTTAGTCCTCAGTTATAGATATGGGTGATAGTCCTCAGTTATAGATATGGGTGATAGTCCTCAGTTATAGATATGGGTGATAGTCCTCAGTTATAGATATGGGTGATAGTCCTCAGTTATAGATATGGGTGATAGTCCTCAGTTATAGATATGGGTGATAGTCCTCAGTTATAGATATGGGTGATAGTCCTCAGTTATAGATATGGGTGATAGTCCTCAGTTATAGATATGGGTGATAGTCCTCAGTTATAGATATGGGTGATAGTCCTCAGTTATAGATATGGGTGATAGTCCTCAGTTATAGATATGGGTGATAGTCCTCAGTTATAGATATGGGTGATAGTCCTCAGTTATAGATATGGGTGATAGTCCTCAGTTATAGATATGGGTGATAGTCCTCAGTTATAGATATGGGTGATAGTCCTCAGTTATAGATATGGGTGATAGTCCTCAGTTATAGATATGGGTGATAGTCCTCAGTTATAGATATGGGTGATAGTCCTCAGTTATAGATATGGGTGATAGTCCTCAGTTATAGATATGGGTGATAGTCCTCAGTTATAGATATGGGTGATAGTCCTCAGTTATAGATATGGGTGATAGTCCATAGTTATAGTTGAAGGGTGTTAGTCCTTAGTGAAAATTTGGTACAACATATTTGTCCATAGTGATAGATGTGGGTACCAGCTAGTGTTAGTGTAAATATACAGATTTTTACTAAAACACCTTCAGATATTTCCACCTCGTTTGTGTCCTTTGCTATGATAATGACAGCAAAGGGACAGCAAAGGGACACCTACCAAGTATATCAACAGAGAAGCAATGCTCAATTCATTGCTACATTTACAAATGTAATATGTATTATTAATTAGTCTCCACAATATGTCGATACCCCACACAGAGCATCGGTCGTCAAAACATCTGACGTGTTGTGTTGGAAGAAAGTCACAACTTTCAATCCTGGTAACACCTCTTATCACATTGTACTGGAACATAGCTGTTCAATTTGACACTGATCAAACGATCAATATTTCATGTAGAATTTTGTATATCGATAAAGATTATAAATATTTATTATTTCAGTAGGGAGTATGAACAATTTCTGAGCTCATTATGTAGCCTGAAGACGCGTTTAGGTCAAATTTTTATCATCAATATTTCTTAAATTACCACAATTGAAAATAAATGTCCTGGAATAAAAAAAAAATCAGGTTTTTTACCCTTTATGTAACAACACATGTCATATTTAACAATATATAGCTTGTGCAAAACCAATACACCTGTGTGATACTTTCTATAGTAAACTTATCTTGCCTTGTATAATCAGACATACAAATATCGGTCATTATGTAATTGTATCTGCTGTATTTCCTTTCATGAATTTAAATCCATTACAATACACAGCTTTATAAGTGCAGACCACTGATTGAGAAAACCTTTTGGTCTATCACAGAACATATGAAGTAACTTTATGCAGAATTCGTATTACTTCAAGATTCTGGTCTTCTGTCATTCACAGTAACAATGTGTACATCTCTAATTGTCCTTCATTGTTTCATGAACAACTATTGTGAAATCATCTTTAATTTTAGCATTTCAAAAAGACACTAGTATGCCAAATATTGTAAATTTATCATTTAAAAAAAAAAAAAGTATCATGGTTTGTCTGTCCTCCATATATAATACATTTGATATTGTATATTGTTGTAAATATGTTTTCTCTGTACATTTATAATTTTGTAAAGAGAAATAAAGTAAAAGTAAAGTTAAGGCTCAAAGAAATGCCTTCCCATCAAAATTCAGATGTTCTACAAATATTTTGTATGTCGCATACAGTGTTGAAGTGACAACATGGAGAAGAGTGTTCTGTGACATTACATATCGTCATGGTGTCAAGTTTATTTATCAACCATTCAAAACTGCAATGGAAAACACTTTTCTATGATCCATTACAGTTTTGGAAATCGTCCATGATGTTCGCTTATTCACTATATATAGCTAACAGATATTGTTTGACTCATTCACCCCTGAAATTTCATAATGAACTATTCCAACCTATTAATTGGAAGAGTTCAAATGTGTCTAGGGGGGGGGGGGGGGGATTGAGTTAAACTGACTGTAAAAACATTCCAATTGCACAAAATTACAGAAAAAACACATTGCATAGAAACAGATGGACAAAGATTATAAACATACAAAACTGGAGGCATGCATGGAATATATTCAATAATAATACTATGATTGCGGATTAGGGATATTTGTACAAACTCAAACTAACATTTTTGTACTTATTCATAAGTACCTATATTGGTCGTTTGATACCATACTTTAAACCCGTTAGTAATGCTTAAATGCATATTTACATGAAAAATTATAAACCATACAAAATATCAGTAATCTACAACACAAAAATGTAGGTGTTGATTCTACTAGAAATCATATATATCATACCACCATCAAGGAATACATTTGTGCTTTTAACCATTTCACCCCTGAAGACACATTTGAACCCTTCCAATTGAAAGGTTGGAATAGTTCATGATGAAACTTCAGGGGTCAATGAGGTAAAGAAGATATTTTTAGAAAAAAAGAAAAAAATACCATTCGGAAAAGTTCAAACCCCAGAACCATGATCAATACACTTATAGACTTCATCCCAAACTTTAAATGTTGATAAAACAGATGTTTCTCTACATCTCGTTTTGATGAAAAAGTTGTATAAAAAATCACTTTTTGGTATGGAATTGAAATATTTGACAACATTCAAACTTGGACCTATAAGATTTGTTTTCCTCCTGATCCCGAGAACCTAGACAGCTTGTATCTTAATATGACAGAACAAGGACAGTTTAGATAGCGCTAATATTAAAACACGAAGTAAGTAATCATATCTATATAACAAGAGGCCCAGAGGGCCTGTATCGCTCACCTGGAAATGTTAGTAAAATTGAAGTTGGAATAGCTAGATGTTGCTGGTAGTGTACATGTATTACATTGTTAGTCAGGGGATATATTTATATGCAATTAGACAAAATCCTGTCATTCCTAGTAAAAAGAAGGATTTTGAAGAATTTGCTATGTTTTCCCTATTGGGCCCCACCCCTCTGCCCCAAGGGGGTCAGACCCACTTTTGATACAAAATCAGGTCGCCTTTACCCAATGATGCTTTAGACCAAATATGAACAAAATCCTGTTATTCCTACAGAATAAGAATTTCAAAGAATTTGCTAAATTATCTCTATTGGGCCCCACCTCTAAGGCTCCATGGAGGTCAGACACACCATTTACACAAAATTGATTTCCCTTCCCATAGGATGCTACTATTCAAATTTGGTCAAAATACCTTCATCCTAACGGAAGAATAAAGGATATTAAAGCTATTCCTCTATATCCCTTATTTGGTCCTGTCTCTCTGCTCCCAGGGGGGTCAGACACACTGTTTATACAAAATTGGTTCCCCTTCACTCAAGGATACTTCATACCAAATTTGGACAAAATCCTGTCATTCCTACAGATGGACAAGGATTTTGAAGAATTTGCAATGTTTCCCCTATTGGGCCCTACCCCTCTGCCCCCAGGGGGCCACATCAAGACCAAGGTGCTCCAGATTAATTTAGGATAAAATACTTTAATCTCTATGGTAGAAAAAGGATTTTAAAGGTTTTACCTCTATATCCCCTATTCGGCCCTGCCCTCTGCCCCCAAGAGGGCCACACCCATCATTTATACAAAATTGAGTCCCCTTTGCCGAAGAATGCTCAAGACTAAATCAGGATAAAATCCTTTAATCCCTACGGTAGAAGAAGGATTTTAAAGGTTTTACCTTTATTTCCCCTATTCGGCCCCACCCCTCTGCCCCAAAGGGGGCTACACCCACCATTTATACAAAATTCAGTCCCCTTGGCCCAAGGATGTTCCAGACTAATTTAGGATAATATCCCTCAATCCCTATGGTAGAAGAAGGATTTTCAAGGTTTCACCTCTATTTTCATTGTTTGCCCCCACCCCTCTGCCCCCAGGGGGGCCACATCCACTGTTTATACAAAATTGAGTCTCCTTGGCCTAGAGATGCTCCAGGCCAAATTTAGTCAAAATCTACTTAGCCGTTCAGGACTAGTAGCGTTTTAAAGGAAAAGTTGACTGACGGACGGCGGACGCTGCGGTATGACATAAGCTCATCATGGTCCTTCAGACCAGGTGAGCTAAAAATGTTGATTACGAAGATAGAGATGAATTAATCAGCAGGTCATCAAGATTAAGGTTATAAATACAATCACACTCGTGGCATGCAAAACAAAGCTTTGTGAATGCCCATGACTAGTGTTGTTCTCTTTAATCTGATAATTCCCATTCATTCTCATCAAATTGTTACTTTAAATGATAGGTTTTATTGTCACATTATTTTCATAGACTTTCACCTGCAAATATTTGCTGATAAAGCACTATGCAGTACTTTGCCTGCGAGCCTATTTGTAAACTTCGAAAGTAATATTTTAAAAATTGTTGAAGTTCTATGAATCAATGCGTTTGAACAACACTACTCGTGACCATGTTAGCGGTTCAGCTTCTGAATCCGTAAAGTGAATGTGTAACATTTAGAGCTCACCGCGCCATTTTCCAGGATCTGGCCCCCAATCCGGGGAGCGTTCTACAAAACAAGCAATGGCTATATCCATGAAATACAAACACAGACTGACAGATGCTTTTACTCTCCTGGAAATTCACTAGCCATCTCATCTGGCACAGATCCCTGTAGTATTAATATTTGCTAATTCATATATATTGTTAACTCTGGCTCTGATGAAAACACCTGGCTAAACCTGTACACTGCTTTGTCTGTCCAACCTATGTCTGGCCAAAAGGGATTTCACTGCTTCATCCATGCTTTTCTTTCCTTGTTTTCCTTAACACATTCACCCCTGAAAATTCAAAATGAACTATTCCAATCTTTCTAATTGGAAGAGTTCACATGTGTCTTTAGGGGTGAACGAGTTAATTCAGGCTTATATTCTCGAAAATCAAAATCTACTTTCAAATTTTGAAAAGGAGGAATATTGTCTTTCGATTTTAAATATAATTAAATATATCAATACAAGGTTATTTTCCCCCAAGATGAAAAAATAATCCACAATTGCCAGGGACATTAAGTTGAATTCAGGAGGACTTCAGAAGCCAAATCATGAACAAGAAAAACGCTAGGATTATCTAGAATATCTACTATCAGAGAAGTATCTCAACAAACAGACTCTAAAATAGCGGTACACAGGACTGAGTTTTGAAAATTCTATAAACAGCTGACAATATCCATGCAGTTACATTTGAAAACACTTTTTTTTCTAGCCATGATAGTGTTTGTTCCAATTCTGACCTCAGGAGACAAACAAAACACAATTATAACTCCTGTCATGTCTCAGAGGAATAGGTAACTGTAGGTAAAATAATCAATAGAAGAATGAAGCCATGCATGTAGATCTAGCTAGGTACCAAGTGACATACCATACCATCACTGTAGAACCTAACTTATGTAGATCTAGCTAGGTACCAAGTGACCTACCATACCATCACTGTAGAACCTAACTAATGTAGATCTAGCTAGGTACCTAGTGACCTACCATACCATCACTGTAGAACCTAACTAATGTAGATCTAGCTAGGTACCAAGTGACCTACCATACCATCACTGTAGAACCTAACTAATGTAGATCTAGCTAGGTACCAAGTGACCTACCATACCATCACTGTAGAACCTAACTAATGTAGATCTAGCTAGGTACCAAGTGACCTACCATACCATCACTGTAGAACCTAACTAATGTAGATCTAGCTAGGTACCAAGTGACCTACCATACCATCACTGTAGAACCTAACTAATGTAGATCTAGCTAGGTACCAAGTGACCTACCATACCATCACTGTAGAACCTAACTAATGTAGATCTAGCTAGGTACCAAGTGACCTACCATACCATCACTGTAGAACCTAACTAATGTAGATCTAGCTAGGTACCAAGTGACCTACCATACCATCACTGTAGAACCTAACTAATGTAGATCTAGCTAGGTACCTAGTGACCTACCATACCATCACTGTAGATCCTAACTAATGTAGATCTAGCTAGGTACCAAGTGACCTACCATACCATCACTGTAGAACCTAACTAATGTAGATCTAGCTAGGTACCAAGTGACCTACCATACCATCACTGTAGAACCTAACTAATGTAGATCTAGCTAGGTACCAAGTGACCTACCATACCATCACTGTAGAACCTAACTAATGTAGATCTAGCTAGGTACCAAGTGACCTACCATACCATCACTGTAGAACCTAACTAATGTAGATCTAGCTAGGTACCAAGTGACCTACCATACCATCACTGTAGAACCTAACTAATGTAGATCTAGCTAGGTACCAAGTGACCTACCATACCATCACTGTAGAACCTAACTAATGTAGATCTAGCTAGGTACCAAGTGACCTACCATACCATCACTGTAGAACCTAACTAATGTAGATCTAGCTAGGTACCTAGTGACCTACCATACCATCACTGTAGAACCTAACTAATGTAGATCTAGCTAGGTACCTAGTGACCTACCATACCATCACTGTAGAACCTAACTAATGTAGATCTAGCTAGGTACCTAGTGACCTACCATACCATCACTGTAGAACCTAACTAATGTAGATCTAGCTAGGTACCTAGTGACCTACCATACCATCACTGTAGAACCTAACTAATGTAGATCTAGCTAGGTACCTAGTGACCTACCATACCATCACTGTAGAACCTAACTAATGTAGATCTAGCTAGGTACCTAGTGACCTACCATACCATCACTGTAGAACCTAACTAATGTAGATCTAGCTAGGTACCTAGTGACCTACCATACCATCACTGTAGAACCTAACTAATGTAGATCTAGCTAGGTACCTAGTGACCTACCATACCATCACTGTAGAACCTAACTAATGTAGATCTAGCTAGGTACCAAGTGACCTACCATACCATCACTGTAGAACCTAACTAATGTAGATCTAGCTAGGTACCAAGTGACCTACCATACCATCACTGTAGAACCTAACTAATGTAGATCTAGCTAGGTACCAAGTGACCTACCATACCATCACTGTAGAACCTAACTAATGTAGATCTAGCTAGGTACCAAGTGACCTACCATACCATCACTGTAGAACCTAACTAATGTAGATCTAGCTAGGTACCAAGTGACCTACCATACCATCACTGTAGAACCTAACTAATGTAGATCTAGCTAGGTACCTAGTGACCTACCATACCATCACTGTAGATCTAGCTAGGTACCAAGTGACCTACCATACCATCACTGTAGAACCTAACTAATGTAGATCTAGCTAGGTACCAAGTGACCTACCATACCATCACTGTAGAACATATAACTAATGTAGATCTAGCTAGGTACCAAGTGACCTACCATACCAACACTGTAGAACATATAACTAATGTAGATCTAGCTAGGTACCAAGTGACCTACCATGTACCATGTTGTCACTGTAGTACAGTAACAGATTTATGTAGGTCTATAGTTAATATATATGATTATTGCTTTCTAAAACTATTGAAATAGCAGGACTAAATTTATAAAGAACAAGACATCTTATTAGCATTTCATCACACTTAATTTCGGCGCAAAATAAATCAACGATTACACAGTGTATCAGCCCCATTTATGTCTATTAACCCTTTGAGTGCTAGTCACAACTAAAGTTGCGCTGTATGTCTGTGGCCACCACTGCTAGGCACAACTATAGTTGCACATTCTATAAAATGGTATTTTATATGGTCAACAGCTAATCGTATTGTTTAAAGTTTAATCAAACACATCAAATAACCAATTTCCATTGGTATTAATATGTTTATTATAAGTGTTATAAGTATTTTTTTGGCAATATTTTTACCAAAATTGTGACTTATGAAGTTATATCTAAATTTGAACTGCAGTGAAAATTAAATTTTCCTAATTAATTCAGCACTGATTGGTTACCATATGTTATTCTAATATAGCACTCTAAGGGTTAAAATGAAAAACTTCTATGGATGCAGGGTTGAAAATTAAAAAAATGATCTCTTAAAATCGTTAAATAAAAATGGACTAAAAATGAACAACTACCGGGTAATTGTAGGTGTCATAACATATTAATGAAAGTCCGGTCAACAGATAATCAAAACCAAATTTTAAAAAAGTAAATGAAATAAAAATCAGATAAGATTAACTAGTATATCATGAAAACATATATGGACAGAAGAAGTGTGTAAGTAGAAAGAGTCTAAGACAGTTAACTAACTAACTGTATCCCTTACCTTGCCCTGCTTGATTGTAACGCCACTGGCCCCAGCCTGACCTTGACCTCTTTGTGGTGGACGGGCTGGAGCACCATTTTTACGGATTTCCACTTCTTCAAATTTTCCCTTACGAGGAGTAGAGGCCTCGGAGCGAGCCTGCCTTGGTTTGGCTTGTGCCTTGGAGGAAGTATTTTTTGATCGACTAGGTGACTTTGAGGAGGATGTTTGATCTGATGATGGGGCAGATCGTGAGCTCTCAGGGGCTGCCTTCACCTGTACCGTAGTTGGGGAGCCATCAGCTGATGCACCATTCCCCATGTCTGTGGTCACTGGGTACTCTTTATTTCTAAAAATTAAGCAACAAAATATATATATATATATATAACTCTGCATCTACACATAATGAAAAGTCTAAATTCTGTGTAGACACGAAAAGACAACAGAAACTGGTGAGGAGATATCAAAACCAAGAGAAAGACAACAACAGGAACTGAGGTGATATCAACATCGAGAGAAAGACAACAACAGGAACTGAGGAGATATCAACATAGAGAGAAAGACAACCGCAGGAACTGAGGAAATATCAACATAAAGAGAAAGAAAATAACAGGAACTGAGGTGATATCAACATAGAGAGAAAGACAACAACAGGGACTGAGAAAATATCAACATAGAGAGAAAGACAACAACAGGAACTGAGGTGATATCAACATAGAGAGAAAGACAACCGCAGGAACTGAGGTGATATCAACATAAAGAGAAAGACAACAACAGAACTGAGGAGATATCAACATAGATAAAAAGACAACAACAGGGACAGAGGAGATATCAACATAGATAGAAAGACAACAACAGGAACTGAGGAAATATCAACATAAAGAGAAAGACAACAACAGGAACTGAGGAGATATCAACATAGAGAAAAAGACAACAACAAGAACTGAGGTGATATAAACATAGAGAGAAAGACAACAACAAGAACTGAGGAGATATCAACATAGAGAGAAAGACAACAACAGGGACTGAGAAAATATCAACATAGAGAGAAAAACAACAGCAGGAACTGAGGTGATATCACCATAGAGAGAAAAAGACAACAACAAGAACTGAGGTGATATAAACATAGAGAGAAAGACAACAACAGGGACTGAGAAAATATCAACATAGAGAGAAAGACAACAACAGGAACTAAGGAGATATCAACATAGAGAAAAAGACAACAACAAGAACTGAGGTGATATCAACATAGAGAGAA